CGGCGGGCTTGCCTCGCTGTAGAGGTGGTAAGACTGAGGCCGCGGAGGGGAGACCCCTGCCCAAGGCCCCGGGAGCCCGATCGGGGGAGGAAGAGGGGGGGACACACGTTCCCTTGTGGATGGAAGGAGACGGAGCCCCAGGAGGGGGAGATGCATCTTCAGGGGGGACAGGAAAGAAGGGCTGAGCGCGGACAGGCGCCTCGTCATTTGTAAGAAGTTTATTTCAACATTTAAAAAAGAGAGAGAGAGAACCCGAGAAGCCTGGCTGCCCCCGACGGAGGCTGGAGGTGGGGGCTCGGGGGTCGGGGTGGGGGGCGAGCCCCTCGGCCCCTTCCTGCCCCGCCTGAGAGGGGAGAGGGCGCAGGCCACGGACTCACTGATTCACGGACACGGTCACGGGCTCATGGGTCACGAATAAATAACTTCATATACACTTTGCACACCGTATGTACAGCTCTGCGCCGACCCCGGCGCGCGGAGTGGGGGGCTCCACGCTCCCCTCCGCCGGTCAGGGGTGCGTGGAGGGGGGTTGATGTACAGCTGTAGCGTGGAGGGGGATGCGGGAGCGAGTGCAGCGTGGGGGTCGCCCCCGCCTGCCCCCGAGAGGGGCAAGGAGGCGCCTCGGGGGGCCGACGGGGGGGGGGAGAGGGTGTGATGTATGTACATCCGCGGGTGGAAGTGGGCCCCGGAGGGAGTGGCCGGGAGAGAGGACGCCGAGAACGGTTAGGGAGACGCGGTCCGGGCCTCAGTAGACTTGGCATTTGGCCCTTGGGGGTACGCTGGCTGAGGCGCCAGGGAGAGCCGGACAGGGGCCCCCGGCGAAGGGTGCTGAGCCCCGCGCCCTCCCAGCGGCAGGCGGAAGGCGCGGGCGCGGGGCCCCGGGCGCGGCGGGCGCTTCACCGAGGCTGCGCGGCGCGCGGGAGGACGCTGGCGCCCTGGAGTCCGTGGATGAGGATGCGGGGCACCAGAGGTCTCTGCAGGGCGGGCGGCGGCGCGCTGGGCCCGCGGTACAGATACAGCGCGGCGCCGGGATCCAGGTTGGAAACGAGACTCTGCGGGTAGAAGTAAGGCGACGGGAACATCCGCTGCAGCGCCGAGTAGTTGCCTGCCTCCGCCAGCAGCTCCAACCCGACGGCCGTCTGTCGCTTCCATTTAGTCCTAGGGACCGAAATAAATGTGTAAGGCGGGGTCGGGGCTGTGGCGCCCGGAGGCCAAGAGGGGCCACGCTCATTTCTTAATAACGGGGCGCCAGGCACGTTGTCACGTGTTACACACATGGGCGCCTTTACGCTTCTGCCTGCCTT